TATTCACATTATCATTATTATTCATATTATCATTATTCATACTCATATTCATATTATTATTCATATTACTATTATTAATACTCATATTCTTATTATTATTCATATTATTATTATTATTATTATTCATAGATTATTATTCATATTATTATTTATATTATTCAAATTATTATTATTCATACTCATATTCATATTATTATTCATATTATTATTATTTTTGTTGGTTTTGTTGTTGTTATTATTTTTCATATTTAAATAATTATTTATATAATTAATATTATTATTATTAATATTATTTTTATTAATTATATTATTGTTTTTAATATTCATATTAACATTATTATTCATATGATTATTATTATTATTAATAACAATAATATTATTATTGTTAATAATAATAATAATAATAATAACAATAGTCATATTATTATTATTCATATTTATATTATTATTCATATTCGTATTATAGTTATTATTTTTGTTATTATCATTTATTTTATTATTATTTATTATATTATTATATTTATTATTATTATTATTATTATTTATATTATTATTTATATTATTATTATTGTTCATATTCATATTCATGTTATTATTATTCATATTATTATTATTATTATTATTATTAATCATATTATTATTATTATTATTATTATTATTATTATTCATATTATTACTATTATTATTCATGTTCATATTATTGTTATTATCATTGTTATTATTATTATTCATATTATTATTATTTATTATAATATTATTATTCATGTTATTATTATTATATTATTACTATTATAATTCTTCTTCTTATTATTATTATTCATATTATTATCAATATTATTATTATAAAGATTTTTATTATTTGTATAATAATAATAATAATAATAATAATAATAATTATTATTATTGTTATTATACATATTGTTACTATTATTCATATTCGTATTATTATTAATATTCATATTTATATTAATATTATTCATAATATTATTATTATTACACTTTACAAACTATAGGCTGTAATAAAAATAAAATAAATAAATATAGTTGCCCAGCTGTGCTTCACTGTGTTGTATTCAATAGTCGCCTCTGCTACACATTATAAGAAATATAAATATAACTCATAGATGATGTAATATTCTATTAAAGTTGTACTCTAGAAATGCTGGGTTGTTTGAAACCAGAGTTGGGTTAAATATAGACAAACCCAACCATTTGTAAGTAAGCTGTATGCAGAAAGCAATGCACTATAGCTAACAGTAGATGAACAACACACACACACACACACACACATCCACGGGGCTCATGTAGACTGATACACACTCACACAGAGCTGATGCTGACTGATACACACACATGCACGATCTCTCTCTCCCTGTGTGTGTGTGTGTGTGTTAAGGTGAAACTCTTCATTTTGACTCATAACTGTAAGCAGCACTATATTTATAACTTGTCTAGTAAATGCTTGTTGATTCAGAGTGTTCAGATGTCTGGACAGTGTGTTTTTGTAAGAGAGTGGTCTGTCAGGTTCTGCCTGTTTGTCCTTCAGATGTTTGGTTTCCCTCAGAGCGTCCTGGTTTCCTCTGTTAACTGAGTTTGGTTGAATCAGCTCAGGTTAGCGCTGGCGTCTCCGGCTCTTCCGGACGCTCTTGTGTACTCGTTTGTTCTTCAAGTAGGTCAGTGGAGCATCAATGCTGCATTAATGGGCTAAAATTAGCCTCATCAGACCCGGCAGACGCATTTAATTAAAGAGGAGAGCAACATCAAGGCATCGGGCCCAATTAAAAGATCAGCACAAACAGAATAACGATACGCCACTGAACAGACACTGATTAGTGAAGGAGGTTAAGAGACTGGAGGATAATCAGCTTTACTGCGGCCTGTCTGCTACACACACACACACACACACACACCAGAGGTCAGTGCTGAATCTGCTGGAGATGCGGGCCATGTCAGAGCACACACTTCTTTAACCTCTTATTAAAGTAAATATAGTAGCTGAGGATTTCTCTCCTCTTTAAGTTTTACTTGTGGGCGTCACGGTGGCGCAGTGGGTAGCACGATTGCCTCACAGCAGGAAGGTCGCTGGTTCAAGCCTCGGCTGGGTCAGTTGGCGTTTCTATGTAAAGTTTGCATGTTCTCCCTGTGTTGGCGTGGGTTTCCTCCGGGTGCTCCAGTTTCCCAAACTCATGTGCTATAGGGGAATGAGTGAGTGTGAATTAGAGTGTATGGGTGTTTCCCAGTGATGGGTTGAGGCTGGAAGGGCATCCACTGTGTAAAACTAATGCTGGATAAGTTGGTGGTTCATTCCGCGGTGGCAACCGCAGCTTAATAAAGGGACTAAGCTGAATATTAAATATATGAGTTTTACTTGTGAACTTCTTCATCTGGCCGCTGGATGGCGCCACACACTGAGACTTTGAGCCCGAGTCAACCACACACAACAGAAAAGCAATGATGCTTTATTTATGATTCATTTCTATTCATTATAATGTGTCATCCGCTAATAAGGTCACTTAAAGTAATTATAGTTTAGACCAAAAATCTTCTTAGAGGTATTAAGAAGCAGAAATATTTGGTGATATGCTTAAAATGTACATTTTTAATCATTTTAAATACATTAAATATGGTATAATCGCTATTCTCCTATATAGAGTTCAGCATATATGCGTGCAGCCCATCAAATCTCTCTTTTAAATTCATATTTTAATTAGGAAGCTTTATAATATTATATTTGTGCATATACATTAGATTAGTGCAGTGTTTCTCAACCATGTTCCTCGAGGACCACCAGCTCTGCAGATTTTCCATGTCTCCTTTAGCAAACACACCTGATTCATATCATCAGCTCATTAGCGGAGAAGACCTGTAATGACAAAGGAGACATCCAAAACATGCAGTGCTGGTGGTCTTCCAGGAGCGTGGTTGAGAAACACAGGGAAAGTCTGTACTGAAGCCAAATCTGGAGCTGCTTATCTAGCAAAATAACTTGCATTAATGCTGCAAAAGCTAGCACAGCTAAATATACATGTTAAAGAAAAATATTAAAGCAAAAACATGGATATATTCAGCTGAAATTTTGTAGGTTGTCATTTATTTTTGCAATATTTAGCTTGAGTTTTATTGTATTTTCTTTAAATTTCTAAGTATGTTTGGTGACTAAATAATTATTGTAATATATATCTGTTTGACAAGTCTGTTTTGTTTAAATGCACCAAAATACACTGACTATACTCACTGACAAATGGAGGAACATGTTCATCTTCAAAATGGGCTGTACTCAATTATACTGAGCGCTGTATATATATATATATATATATATATATGACAGAATAAGTATGTTGTTCACAATTACATAAATATTGTATACACTTATTGACTATTTCACACGTTTTTTTTTTAGGGTGAAACCTTCTCAAATGTTATTTAAAGCATTAAACATGCACTCAATGTGTTTTCTTTCTCTCCATACATTTACTTTTACATTGCTTTAAATTAAATTTCATGCAAACAATACGATTTCTTTGACCCATATCCGCATTGTAGTGAATTGCTGTTGCATCTGATTGTATTAATTAACAAAAATTATGAAAATGAATCAAATTTAGAGCAATTCTGAGCACAGACTGGTGCTTTAATGTGATTTATAAGACCTTTTAAATCCTACAGACAGGGAAAACTATCACAGTTGTGATTTTTTTTTTTTAACAAATGAGGCACCCTAAAATAGACATTATTTATTTCATGCATATTTTTAGATTAAACCTTCTCAAATGTTCTTTAAAACATTGAACATGCATTGAATATGTTCCCTTTCTCTCCATACATTTGCTTTTACGTTGCTTACTGTGAACAATACGATTTCTCTGACACACATCTGCATTTTAGTGATGAGCTATTGCATCTTATTGTATTAAATTACTACAATTATGAAAATACATCAAATTTAGAACAATTCTGAGCACAGACTGATGCTTTTTAATGTGGTTTATAAGACCTTTTCAATCCTACAGACAAAACAGGATCACAGTTGTGTTTTTTTAACAAATAAGGCACACTAAAACATAGATTAAATAAATGCAACATCTACAAATATACCTCCTAGACCGAAAAAAAAAGATGTCTGCAAAATTGTGTCAAACAATAAACGTGTTGAATTTAAACAAATTAAATTGAGTAATGTTCAACTTAATTTGTTTACATTTAGCCTAAATAAAGTTTACAACCACTTAATTTAGTAAATCCAAGGAATCACCCTTGAGTATTTTATTTTCAGTGCAGTAAAATATGCACAGTTGAGCTGCTAAAAGCGACGGCTGGCATATAAATGAGCAGTCGGTGTTATTATGGGCACATAACGGTACATTCAATACCTGGAGCGCAACTCTCTTATAACAGTCCGTCTGAGCCATGATTGACGTCTCCCTCGTCCAATCACAGCCCTGCTCGATGACTTTACAATAGAACGCGGAGCCAAAGAGAGGCGTGGCCGCACGCAGGAGGCCAATAGCAGCAGAGCAGGGCGGGAGTTTTCTCAACTCGGGCTTTTGTTCTCAGTCAGGGCAGCAAAGAGAAGTTTGCTCACCGTTATTCCGCGGGACATCCCGTAGCAGAATCACAGGGATACACCGAGAGCTCGCTTATTTCCTTCAGGGAAATCATTAAAATAAGATTTAGAAAGCTCACATTGTGAGGGGAGAGGATTTACAAAAGAGCGAACTTTTCAGTTTAGCTCACAATGGAAACTCCATCATCATCACCACCATCATCATCATCATCATGAGAGGAGTTTTACTGCACGATCTCTGACAGGATTTTACAGCAGCTACACCTCTTCAACTTTCCTCAAACAGAGCATAAAGCAGTTTTAAGGAATACCCCTGTGGATTAATCAACTTTCAGCGCGAGTTCCGAGTCTCTTTCTCTCCGTTTTAATGGATATAATGCTGCAAATCTGAGGTGAATGTATGAGGCTCGGGAAAACCCGGACTGCATCTGCGATCATGGCGCTTTCAGGTACCTCCACGCACCTCGTTCTGCTCGTGTTCTGGACTTTATCGCGCTGTTCTGTCTCCAGTCAAGTTCGGCAGGAGTTTGAGGTTCTTGAGGAGCAGCCGGTGGGCACCTATGTGGGCACCATCGAGACCAAACCCGCCTTCACGTACAGATTCAGCGAGCAGCACAAACTTTTTTCCATCAACGCGACGACGGGCGTCATCTACACGTCCTCCGTGATCGATCGGGAAGTTCTGCCCGGGAACATCATCAATGTGGTGGTGCTGTCCAGCCAGCCGACTTACCCGACTGAAGTGCGCATCGTGGTGCTGGATATCAATGATAACGCGCCCGTGTTTCCCGACGCGTCGATAGTGGTGTCGTTTAAAGAGGACGCGAGCAGCGGGCGGCAGGTCATTCTGGACACCGCCACCGACGCGGACATCGGTAGCAACGGAGTGGATCACACCACATACCGGATCATCAGCGGGAACGACCAGCGGAAATTCCGCCTGGACATCACCGTCAACCCGAGCGGAGAGGGCGCGTTTTTACACCTAGTCTCCACTGGAGGGCTGGACAGAGAAACGACTCCATTCTACCAGCTGCTTATTCAAGTGGAAGATAAAGGAGAGCCCAAAAAGTTTGGCTATCTTCAAGTAAACGTCACTATTCAGGATATAAACGACAACCCTCCCTCTTTTGACCATGAGCAGTATCAGACTAGTGTGTTTGAGGATGCTGCCGTCGGCTCTAGTGTGCTGCAGATTGCAGCCAGTGATCTGGATGAAGGTGCAAACGCTGAAATAACCTATCTTTTAGATGAGGGGACTCCTTTTCAGATTGACCCCAAGGCTGGGACTGTTGTTATAAAGGAGGGGTTGGATTACGAGACTAAAAGGGAGTATTCTCTCACCATCCACGCTGTGGATAACGGCGTCCCTTCACTTTACACTAGAACTGAAGCTACTGTTAAATTGCTCGATGTTAACGATAATGACCCCGTTGTTAAATTTCGATACTTTCCTACGACTTCCAAATTCGCGTCAGTGGATGAAAACGCCCAGGTGGGCACTGTTGTAGCACTGTTGACTGTTTCTGATTCAGACTCGTCCACCGCCAACGGCAACATCTCAGTTTCTATACTTGGCGGAAACGAGCAAAGACACTTTGACGTGCACAGTTCGCCCGTCCCCAATTTGAGTCTGATCAAAGTGGCCAGCGTGCTAGACCGAGAGCGCATTTCATCCTACAACCTCACTGTTTCAGTGTCAGATAACGGCAAGCCCTTGGCCCGCTCGTCTTTCGCTAGTCTGGTTATATTTGTGAATGATATTAACGACCATCCGCCCATATTTCAGGAAGCCGTGTATAGAGTAGACATCAGCGAGGACATTCCTAAAGGCAGCTACATTAAAGGGGTTTCAGCCACAGATGGAGACTCCGGGCAGAACGCCAACCTGCGCTACTCGCTGGTGTCTGGAAACAGTTTGGGCTGGTTCGCCATCAGCGAGAACAGCGGTTTGGTTACCAGCGCTGCAGAGCTCAATAGGGAAACAGCCTCTGAAATAGTGCTCAATATCAGTGCCAAGGACCAAGGCCTGCAGCCTAAAATATCCTACACTAAATTGATAGTCAACATCACAGACGTTAACGACCAGGTACCTACTTTCACACAAAACACATATCACGTTTCCATAACGGAGCATTCCCCTGCGGGATCCGAGCTTGTCGTGCTCTCCGCCACTGATTCAGATCTCGGCCCTAATGGTACGATCCGCTTCTCATTTGATTCAGAAACTCCTGTGAGCGATCAGAATAAATTCAGACTAGATTCCACATCAGGACGTTTGAGTACGTCCACAGAGTTAGACAGAGAGGAAGAAAGCTCATATCTGCTCTACATTAGAGCCACAGATTCAGGCGCCCCCCCTCTGCACTCCGTCTGCAAGGTGAATATCACTCTTAAGGATGTTAACGATAACAGTCCGGTGTTTTACCCCATGCAGTATTTCGCTAACATTAAAGAAAACGAGCCCTCCGGCTCATCTGTGACAACGGTAACCGCTTCAGATCCAGACCTAGGCCGCAACGGCACTGTTAAATACGCTATCACCGCTGGCGATTCCTCTAAGTTTCACATTAGCAGCACTTCTGGTAAAGTTACGACGTTAGTGGCGCTGGATAGAGAAGAGAAAACCGCGTATCAGCTGCAGGTCACTGCGACAGATGGCGGCGGCTTGCGCTCACACACCCCGGCTATAGTCACCGTCACTGTGGTAGACACGCAAGACAACCCGCTGGTGTTCGGTCAGAAAGACTACAGCTTTGTTATGTTTGAGAACGTGCCCGTGGGCACTATTATCGGCACCGTGTCGGCCACCACAGTGGATCTGCACACAAATATCACTTATTTAATTGCATCCGGCGATCAGCGCAGTTTGTTTGGCATTAAAGCAGGCCAGATTACAGCGTTAGGGCTGATAGACAGAGAAGAGCAGGCTTTCTATCAGCTCAGGGTGATCGCTAGGGCCGGGGAGGTCACAGGGGAAACTTTAGTGAACATTACAGTCAAGGATTTGAACGATAACGCGCCTAACTTCATGCATAGCGTCGAGCATGTTAGTGCTGTTGAAAACTGGGCTACAGGTCATCACATATTCCAAGCTAAAGCTTCAGATCCTGATGAGGCGACCAATGGGATGATTGTATACAGTCTCAAGCAAAACCCTAAAGGCTTGTTTCACATCCACGAGAAGCATGGCTTAATCTCTCTCACCGGCCCTCTTGAAGTCACCACGAGTTCATATCAGCTGGAGGTCGTGGCTTCTGACCTGGGCGTCCCTCAGCGCACGTCAAGCCTATTCCTCACTATTAGTGTGTACGACGTTAACGATAACGCTCCAGTCTTCGACCAGCTCTCGTATGAGGTCACCATTCTCGAATCAGAACCCGTCAATAGTCGATTTTTCAGAGTTGAGGCTACTGATAAAGACTCTGGCGTCAATGGGGAAATCGTGTATGATATCATTAGCGGGAACACGCGTGATGTTTTCGGGATTTTCCCTGACGGGCAGTTGTATATAAAGGCAGATCTGGATAGAGAGGTGCAAGATCGCTATAGTTTATTAGTGGTGGCTAAAGACAGAGCGGTCGAGTCTCTGAGCGCTAGTGTTAACGTGAGCATCCTCCTGGATGACATCAATGACAACCGTCCGCTCTTTAACAGCACTAACTATGTGTTTCACTTCGAGGAAGAGCAGGAGCGAGGCGCTCTAGTTGGACGGGTGTTCGCTGAGGATAAAGACTTCGGGCCTAACAGTGAAGTGCGGTATTCCTTTGAAACGCCGCAGTCGAATTTTGAGCTCAACGCAATCACTGGCGTATTAACAAGCACTCTACAGTTAGACCGAGAGTCTTTAATGAGGCAGAGAGGCGCCGCGGTGTTCAGCTTTACAGTGCTGTCCTCAGATCAGGGTCTTCCCAAACCCCTCAAAGACCAGGCCAAAGTGCAGGTGTACATACAGGACATCAACGACAACCCGCCCAAGTTCACTAAGGACATTTACCAGGCCTCGATTGCAGAATCCGCCCAGAACATGACACAGCTGCTCCGAGTGTCCGCCTCAGATGTGGACGAAAACAAAAACGGCCTCGTCCACTATGACATCACCGAGGGGAATGAGGAGAAGCAGTTTAGCATCGACAGCAATTCCGGTCAAGTTACTCTAGTGGGGAAACTAGACTACGAAACAACACCCTCTTACTCCCTCAAAATCATCGCAGAGGATTCTGGGAGCGTCCCTCTGTCTTCAACCTGCGTGCTGAGCATCAGCGTTCTGGATGATAACGATAACTCTCCGTCATTCCCCAAATCTACACTCTCAGTGGATGTGCTGGAGAATATGAGGATCGGGGAGCTGGTCGCCTCTGTGACCGCCACCGATTCCGACTCCGGATCCAATGCTGATATCACATACAGCATCTCCGCCACTAATAACCACGGCACATTCAGCATCAGCCCCAACACCGGCAGCATTTTCCTCGTCAAGAAGCTCGATTACGAAACCCAGTCTCTTTACAAACTCAACGTCACAGCTAAAGACAGCGGGAGGCCGTCCAGATCCTCTTCAATCCCGGTTATCATTCATGTACGAGATTTTAACGACAACCCTCCTGTTTTTACACCAGGAGACATTTTTAAATCGATCCCCGAAAACCTCCCGATCTCCACTTCTGTGATGTCCATAACAGCTCACGACACCGACGCGGATATAAACGGACTGCTGGAGTACTCTATTGCGCTGCAGACCCCTCGGGGTGGACATTTCCGCATTGATTCGGTGTCTGGAGTGATATACACTAATAAAGACATCGACAGAGAGTTCTCAAACCTCTTCGAGCTCACGATCAAAGCAACCGATCAAGCCGTGCCTGCAGAGTTTCGTCGTTTTGCTCTTAAAAACGTCACGATATGGGTGACGGACCAAAATGACAACATCCCCACGTTTATCTCGCAGAACGCTCTAGTTGCTGAATCTAACATCGTGATTGGGTCAATTCTGACCACCGTGTTGGCGTTTGATCCTGATGAGGGTGCGAATGGGGAGGTGGAGTACGAACTGGTGAGAGGAGATTCAGACACGTTTATTATGGATCGGTACAGTGGGGATATTAGACTCGCGTCTCAGCTAATTCCCTCAAAACTCATCTATAGCTTGATGGTTTCTGCTACAGATCACGGCACTGACCGAAAATCCTCGAGGACTGAGCTAACTATTATTCTCCAGGGTACCGACGGTCCAGTTTTCTCCCAGCCCAAATACATCACCATACTGAAGGAGGGCCAGCCAGCAGGAACAAACGTCATCTCTCTGGATGCCTCGAGCCCACGTGGCGCCGGCACCAAGGTGGAGTATTTCATTGTCTCAGTCCGAAGTGGAGGAAAGGCCGCTGGACGGCTTTTCACAATCGGACGCCATTCAGGAGTGATCCAAACGGCTGCCGAACTGGACCGGGAGCAAGGCTCGGATTTGTACCTCCTAGACGTGTACGCCATTGAAACAGACGCCAAACAGCCCAGAACGCAGCATGCAGAGGTGAGCTTTCTGTTTGACTTCTTCTTTAAGGTGATGCTTCTTCTGAAAGGAAATCTAAGGGAACATATTTCCCAAACATGTGCTGAAGTCATTTGTGTGAATGTGGTGGAAAAACCGGAGCGAAAATATCCAAACTAAAGGGGGGAAAAGGGTTGGTGCATTACTAAAGTTCCTGCTTGTTTTTTTCTCTTCCCCCTGTTCTCTTTTTCAGAAGATCTGGGTTGTATTAAGTATAAATTGCTTTGCACTTGAGAATGTGGGCTTTGTTTTTTGGCAGGCGAGCTGTATTGTTTCAGCTCAGAGAAAGAGAGAGCGAGAGTGAAGGCCTTAACCCTTGTGTGCTGTTGGGTTGTTTTCATCCACTCTGGGGTGATTTAGTCTTAATTTGGCTTCAGCTCTCTCTGTGTTTCAGCAAATAGAATAATTTTTGTTGACAATACCTATTTTGACATATTAAGTGGCCTTAACTAATATGTACTTACATAGGAATTAATAGTTTGTTACAATCTACTTATTGTGTAAATACATGTATTTACTGTGTACTTATGCTTGATTAAATACATGTAAATACATCAGTAATTAACTTTTGTAATTGCATTTGTAAATACACTGTTGAGCATCCCTTACACCTTAACCCACCCTTAAACCTACCCATGCCACCAAACCTGTCCATAACCCAACCTCTATCCCAACTCAAAAGCACCACACGTGTTCTTAAATACATTATGAACACAGTAAGCACACTGTATTTATTTTTCTGATGTAAGTACATAGTAGTTGAGGACACTTAATATAAAGTGGGACCAACATATAATTGAAGAAAATGCTTTGAAAATGTTCATAAACTCAACAATACTCTCGTTTCCTTTGGTGATGTTGCTGCTGTTTTTGCTTTATTGACTTCCATTGTGATCACATTTATTGTTTGTAAAGTCATGAACGCAGGTAATCATGCACTCATGAGTGTTGCTGGTTTTCCCTGTTGGGACGAGGGACAGTGTGTCACTTTTACTGTTGATCATCAGTTGCAGCGCAAAAACACTGTTGACTTATATACATGGAGTTATGTTGAGTATAGTGTGTGTGTGTGTGTGTGTGTGTGTGTGTGTGTGTGTCTGTGTGTGTGTGTGTCTGTGTGTGTGTGTGTGTGTGTGTGTGTGTGTGTGTGTGTGTGTGTGTGTGTGTGTGCGCGTGCATGTGTACCTTCATACGTCTGAGAAAATCCAAATAAGCAGCTCAGCTCTCAGAACATAGTAAGTGTACACTAATCTGCCGTTATATATAATACCATATAAATAACTGAAAATTAAGTGTTTTTTTAATCTAACAATGTGGTTTTCAAATTAAACTTAATGTAATTGGGTATGCAAAATAAGCTTGGATTAAAACATGTTTAATTAACTTTACAGTTGACTTATTCTCAAGTATAAAGAGAGGGAGAATTCAATTCAGTTTCATTCATTCATTTTCTTGTCCGCTTAGTCCCTTTATTAACTGGGGTCGCCACAGCTTAATGAACCGCCAACTTATCCAGCACATTTTTACGCAGTGGATGCCCTTCCAGCGGCAACTCATCTCTGGGAAACACCCACACACACACCCACACACACACTCAAACACTATGGACAATTTAGCCTAAAAAAATGATCACAGCACATTTTCAGCAGTGTATTATTATTATTGCTTTTGTTCCTCAGCTGATTATCTGCCATCATAAAGCATGCTTTAAACAGTCCATGCTATTTTAAGCTTTTAATACACATTCTAGATCGGTCACATACAGTAAGATTTGGTTCCAGTGGAGCAGACATTGTCTATTCAACTTATATTACATATTAGAACAACTCTAATCTTTTAAGTTGAGCTCACTCACGTTTTTTAAGCATGCATTACCTAATTTTTTAAGGGCAACTAGTTTCCTCTTATTTTTTTTAAGTTACTTAACTTATCCAGGCTAAGAGTGTACGTCTGCCTTATCTGCCTCTGAGCTGACTCTCTCCATCACTGCTCTTATGTCCAGTCTGCATCATTCTCAAACCTCATCCTCACTTCCATCTGCAGGAGGAGCCAGTTCTGTCCTTTTCTTCTCTCACGTACCATAGACCACAGTGGTCCTCACTAATACTCAATAATCAAAAGCATTGCCATTAAAATTAGATTTTTTCCCATAATGCAAATGTCATTAACACATGACTATTCATTCATTCATTCATTTATTTGTCAGCTTAGTCCCTTTATTAATCTGGGGTCACCACAGCGGAATGAACCGCCAACTTATCCAGCAAGTTTTTACACAGCGGATGCCCTTCCAGCCGCAACCTATCTCTGGGAAACATCCACACACACACACATACACTACAGATAATTTAGCCTACCCAGTTCACCTGTACAGCATGTGTTTGGACTGTGGGGGAAACCAGAGCACCCGGTGGAAACCCGAACGAACGCTGAGAGAACAAACACATGACTAATCAACATTATATTACTAGTATTCATGTTGTTATTGTGGCGAGGCAGTGGCGCAGTAGATAGTGCTGTCGCCTCACAGCAAGAAGGTCGCTGGTTTGAACCTCGCCTCAGTTGGCGTTTCTGTGTGGAGTTTGCATGTTCTCCCTGCATTCGCGTGGGTTTGCTCTGGGACATGCGGTACAGGGGAATTGGGTAAGCTAAATTGTCCGTAATGTGTGTGTGTGTGGATGTTTCCTAGACATGGGTTGCGGCTGGAAGGGCATCCGCTGCATAAAAACTTGCTGGATTAGTTGGCGGTTCATTCTGCTGTGGCGACCCCTGATTAATAAAGGGACTAAGCTGACAAGAAAATGAATGAATAAATGAATGTTGTTATTGTTACAGCGTATATTTATTGGCATATTTCACTTTTAGCCCTCAATCAACTTTGGCCCTTTATAAGGAAAGATTGGGCACCGCTGCTCTCATTCCACATAGTTGGCATGTAGTTACAATGCAACGTATAATCAACAAAGTGTGCAAAAGCAGTAACAACACTGAGTTTCTTTGTTCTGTTGAACACAAAGGAAGATATTCTGAAGAATGCTGAAAACCCTGCTTCGTTAGTTCTAGTTTTTCCTATGGAAGTCAATGGTTACTGATTTCCAGCATTCTTCAAAGTATCTTCTTTAGCATTCAACAGACGAAAGAAACATTTGCAAGCACTTGAGGAAGATTAAATAGTGAGCAAATGTAATTTTCTGTGTGAACTGTCCCTGTAATCTCGCTTGCCGTGTGGGGAACTCTGGGTAAAATGTGTTTCTTCGGGCTCCTGCTGCGAGCGCACTAATCTCTCTTATCAGCTGCGAGAAATTCAACAAATCAGACGGCCAGACTGCGTGATTGCAGATATTAATAACACAGAAACCGCGGGACGGAACTGTTTGTTTCTTTCTCATTGTAATCGCTTGCTGGCCAGGAAAACACAGGCAAAGCTGCTAAAAGGGAAATGAGCGCTGGAGATCCGCGTGTGGGTCTCAGATACCTGTCCCCTACTGAGTGAGCGAGGGTATTAGTGAGATTTCGAGCGCTCCAGGCGATGTCAGAGCAGGGTGGTCCTAGAAACCCGGCTTTTGTGCCACCAGCTTTGCATGAACAGGCAATAAGTGACCATTAAATTCAGCTGACCCTCTAAGACACGCTGAATAGATTTTTCCTGAGCGGAGAGAGAGAGAGAGCTGGATAGAGGAGACATCTCGAAACTTAATCTGCACGTTCACTGCAAAAACATGCTAGCTTTACTTAGAGTTTCTGTCTTGTTTTCAGTCTAAATATCTAAACATTGATAAACCGGGAAGCTTTTTCCTGCACTAGTTTCCAGAAAATCCACCACAATAATATCAACCAAATAAATTTTGATTTTGGCCTCCATGTTTATTAAAAACATAAAAATTATGTCGCATGACTCCCTTAATTATTCTACATTCACACATATATATATATTACAGCGCTTTGTAAATGTTTATTATTACCATTTTGAGTCTCCCCACGCAGCTTGATGGAGCACTTGGACACAGAAGCCACTTCATGTGACATCACACTTAACAAGCGGATGGTGATGCAGAAAATTTGTAGCTCCGCCTCCTATGAAAATCTCATTTGCATTTAAAGCGACAGTCACCACAATTAGGATCAAAGCCTAAAAGGGTCAGTTTCAGAGAGTAATGCCGAGTTCAGACTGCATGATTTTCAGAGTAGTCGTGTCACAGATGTTTTCACACTGCATGAGTATCTGCGCAGGCGTTTCGTCGCTGCTTTGTTTACACTGCAAGATGGATCGGCGACAGGGACTTTCACATTGCATGACTTTACTATAGGAAGAATTGCAGACAACTTCGTCCAAACTACGTCTCACAGCCAAAAACACATCGTATATCTTTTGTTATTAACTACATAATGAGAAAGAAGCCTTTAATGGGGTAGAACATGTACATGTTTGCTCACCTGGGTTTGAAGGGAATTAGCCATTTCTCCTCAACTTAAGTTGATAATAAACTAATTTCTTTCTGTATGAAACGTCAAACAGACACGGTTGCTCCTGAGTCCTGTCAAACCTCCACTAGTTTTTCCTCCATTTCGTGGGTCCAAATAAACCGAAAAACCTTCTCCCCCAGCCTCCCGCTGGCCTGCAGCAGGTATACACACACACACACACACGGTAATGCCGCTCTCTCATTGGCTGTAGGTGATCGCTGATGTTATTTTCAGTCAGAACTCAATTCACACGGCATGATCTGAATCAGGCGAGGCAGTGGCGCAGTAGGTAGTGCTGTCCCCTCACAGCCAGAAGGCCGCTGGGTTGCTGGTTCGATCCTCGGCTCAGTTGGCGTTTCTGTGTGGAGTTTGCATGTTCTCCCTGTGTTGGTGTGGGTTTCCTCCGGGTGCTCCGGTTTCCCCCACAGTCCAAACACATGTGGTACAGGTGAATTGGGTAGGCTTAATTTTCTGTAGTGTATGAGTGTGTGTGTGTGGATGTTTCCTAGAGATGGGTT